AAGCAAAATCTCCTGAGCACATGAGGTCCCATTTCCCTAAGAACCCGTTTTGCAAGGTGTGTTCCATCTCGAAGACCACTTCTGCAAGTGTAGCACACAAAAAGGATGCTAGATCAGACGACAAAGTCGACGTTCCAACCGCACCATTTCAGCAGTTGGCTACCGATTCCGTGATTCTTGCCATGGGCGATGAACATCTCGGAGTAGGTTTCGGAGGAATCAAATCTCACCATGTAGTACGTGATGTTTTCTCAGGCGTTCGCCTTGCATACCCTGTGAGTAGGCGGGACACGCAAGCGCATGTTAAAGACTTCCGTCATTTCATGGGCCTTCGGGCCACTGATTCGCCGCCAGCATGTCTAAAGAATGGATGCAGCAGGAGAGCTAGAAGGAGCGGCCCATGAAGTCGGTCTCGTCCCCGAGACAAGCTTGCCGAACAGGTGGCCACACAACACCGTCCTGGAGCGCGACATTCGCGAAGAGAAGGAATGCTGCCGCAGCATACACTTGCAATCAGGGCTGCCCTATTCGTTGCACACGTTTAGTTACGCGTTTGCATGTCTCTCCATGTCGTTCGACAGGCCTGCTCCATTCAGCCCCGGTAAAACCCAATGGGAAGCTCTCACCAAGGAAAAGTTCCAAGGGAAGAGATGCTGTTTCGGGCAATTGGTTTGGTACAGAACCAAGACTCCTGGCAAGCGCACTCTCGATCCGAACATGGCGCCAGCGCTCTTTTTGGGTTGGAGGGTCGATCCGGGGTTGCGGTACCGTAATGTGGTCAAAGTCATGGACTATGAAGCCTTCCGTAAAGATGGTTCCATTTCCGTTCACGATGTTCCTGAACCGGAATTGTTCATTGAGGACGGACCCCCAAGCTTCCCAGCAGCGGACAGGGCATTGCATGGTGGCAAGACAGACGGGTCAGATCCCCCAACTTTGCCCCTGCGAGAGGCGCCCTTTGGGGCCCCACCGACTCCATCCGCTGTCAAGTCAAAATCCGTGTACATAACTGTTGAGAGGATCATCAAGTTCAAGGAAACGCCAGGTTGCCGTGCATGCACCGGTCATTCCAAGATTCACAGTGCCGAATGCAAGAAGAGGTTCTCCGAACTTGTTTCTGCAGATCGAGCTGAAGCAGCTGCAAAAAGCGCTGCCAAAACTGAATCTAAGGAACCCATTCCCATTGATCATACTGAAGGGGATGAGGAGCTAGCCAGAGCAATCCACGCATCCGAGCATAAAGAGGATCCTAAAATAGCAGTTAGGGTAGAAGATGTTGCGCATGAGTTTGATGCAGCCGAAGCTGGGGAGCCCGCTCCCTCAAGACCCGGCGCCTCATTTTCCGATACCGCGCCAGCGACAGCCGCTACATCGCAAGGTGAAGATTTTTGGGTGTTCAAAGAAAATGCCAACTGTTTGGTTCGATACCATATCATGCCAAGGCAGAATCTTTTTACCCCAAAAGAGGTCGAGGATTGCCCCGTTTCCCCAGAAAGATTTACTGCAGCTCGCACCACTCGTGCCGTGTTTCAGGGGGGCAAAGCAGACAACATCCACAATGGTTGGTTTGGTAGCCGACCAAATCGCTCACTTGGAGATGCATGGACCGGGTTCACAGTGTTCAAGTTAAAACCCATTCAGTCCGATTGCGTGATCACCACAGGTGCAGCCGTGATGTTAGACTCCGTGCCGCCGACACCTCTCACCGAAGCGTCAAAGAACGGCCGTCCAGATACATTGCCAATTTTTTGGCATGCCATGCAGGGCAGAGGTTGAAGCTCCGCAGCCCAAGCAGTTTGAGATAGGAAATCATCGTGCCCGCAAGCGACAGGCACGCATTGACAAGTTGCCTGTGATGTTCGAATACGCATGTTCACCAGAGTCCAATATGGGTCGCGTGTTTGAAGGTCTTGGTATACCTCATGTTAGGCTGGCTAAAGAGTTTATCGACCTTAGCACAGATGAAGGAGAAATCCAGTTGCAGTCGCAGATTGAAGGTTGTGACAAACCCAATCTCTGGGCTGCAATTCCCTGCACATCAGGTTCAGCATGGCAACGCCTTAATAAGGCCAAGTTAGGAAGCCAGTTCAAAAAGAAACTGAAGCAAAAGGTTAGAGAGTCGAGAGAGTTGTTCTCCAGATTCAGACGTCACGCAGAGACTGTCCTCCATCAGGGGGGTAGTGTTTCGTTTGAGTGGCCAAGGGATTGCGACAGCTGGGCTAGGGATGATGTTTCTGCATTCTTTAGGGAATACGCACACGTCTTCACCCCAGCGACCTTCCACGGTTGCGCCCTAGGTCTGAAGGACAGCAATGGTTATCCCATCAAGAAGCCATGGAAAGTCATGACCAGCAATAGCACACTCGCATCCGCGCTAGGTGCATTCAAGTGTCCGCACGAAAAAGGGTATAAACATTCGCTTGCAGCAGGTAACAAGACCGCAAAGACCGCTTTCTACCCCGAAGGCATGTGTCTCACAGTTGCCCGTGCGCTGTATCCGACAGTTCAGCCCGTGGTGCCTGCGATGCCTGTCCAAGTGCCATTGCCTCTCGATCACCGGGAACGTGAACAGCAGCTAAAACACATATCCCCTCTCTCCGGTTTGGAAGACATAGGTGTTGCTGTTGAGTCCGATGAAAAGTGTCACAACATTCTTGAACAAGTTCTTGATGTTGAAAATCTCATCGCACATTCCCTAGGACAAGTCAAAGAAGAAAAGGATCCTGAGATCACCGCAATGGTGACCAGACTCTTGTCACGTGCCGAAATGTTGGCTTCCCCGGAAGCCCTTGAAGCCGTTCGACTTGAAGCCACAGGCCTGGAGAAAGCCGGTGCTTGGGATCTAAATTCAGTCCGAGAGTATGATCAAGTCGCTGCTGAGGCGCGACGATCCAGTATAAAAGTTCATTTCGGGCAGTTGATGTCGCTAGCATCCGTCAAGTTCGCCGAACTCGCGAAACACCTTCAGAAGATGTAAGGTAGGATTGTGTATCGCGGAGACTGTGCGAAAGACGAACATGGCGCAGCAGCCGTCTACCAAGAATTGGGAGCAAATCCCACGAGCGTACAAGGTCTTAATAACTGTCTCGCTTATGGATCCCTGCCAGGGAATTCCACCACAACAGCGGACGCTATAAAGGCTTATGTGCAAGCACTGCTGAAATCCAAGTACCAAACTTGGATCACACTCCCGCCTGAGCTCCGGCCAAGGTGGTGGCGCGAGCGTTTCGTGAAACCTGTGGTTTTGCTCGTTAAAGCTCTTTATGGGCATCCTGACGCTGGCGGACTCTGGGAGGCACACCTCAAAGGTTTCATTAGTGAACTTGGAGGGCGTGAGGTCGCAGAATTTCCTGGAAACTTCTGGTTCAAGGAGTCCGGGCTACTTCTCTCGACATACGTCGACGACTTGACGTTGGCCGGCCCCAGCCACCTTCATAAAGACTTCTGGGAAAAGTTAACAAGACTGGTTGATATAGAACCTCCAGAAGACATATACCGGGTGCTAGGCAGGAATCACCTCTTGATAGATGCTCCAAAGGACCCAACTGAACCCGATCTTAATGCCGCAATGGGCAGATTGAAAGGGGGCATGGCGTTCGACATGCAGGATTATGCCCGTCAAACGGTTGCATTATATCTTGAGGTTTCACAGCTAAAAACTGAAAAGTTGCGTGATGCCACCACTCCATTCTGTCCCGCTGGTTCCCTTGATCCTGCAGATGACGCCTTGGAGGGTGAGCTCGGCTTCGCCGCTTGCCGCGTGTTAATGAAAGCCTTATGGCTCGGCCGGTTGGCACGCCCAGACCTGGTCAAGCCCATTGGCGACCTTGCCTCATTTGTTCAGAAATGGTCTAGGAACTGCGATAAGCAGCTACATAGGCTTGTTTGCTACATTAACAGCGCGGTCAACAGCACGCTAGTCGGCACAGTTCAGGATTCGACTGATGAGTTGCATCTGTCTCTCTATGTCGACGCCGATTTTGCTGGAGAACGAGACGCAAAATCAACGTCCGGAGGATTCTTGACTTTGAGTGGTCCGCATACGCATTTCCCCCTTGCGTGGGTGTCTAAAAGGCAGACCTCGGTCTCCCGATCGACAACCGAGGCGGAGATCGTATCCCTCGCATACTCCCTTTACCAGGAGGCGCTTCCGGCGCTCAGCTTATGGGAGCTGATCTTGGACAGACCATTCCATCTCAAGATCCACGAGGACAACCAGGCGACTATCCTCGTAGCAAAGAAGGGTTTCTCATCCAAGCTACGCTGTGTCCAGCGCACCCACAAGGTGAACCTCGCGTGCATCGCAGAGCAGCTTGAAAGCGAACATATCTCGATAGAATACGTCCAAACCGACATGCAGTCAGCAGACATCTTCACGAAAGCACTTCCACCCAACAAGTGGGACCATGCCATCCGGTTGCTCGGCATTCGTGTTGACCTTCCAGAGAAGCTAGCTTGAAGACGTTCGTGAAAGTAGATCCGCTAAAGCAGCTGCCTAGTGCGCTGCAGCATGTCCGCAAAGTTTCCAAAAGTGTGCAAAGTGCCTGGGCGATGCTTGAATAACTTGCGTCAGTCGTTGTGATGTAAACTTGACTTCAAGTTGGCGTGGTAATGCGCCCAAGACACTCCCTCAGTGCCGTCAATGAGGGGGGAGTCAATTATCACGATGACATTTATGGCCCAGAGGTACATGAGGTAGGTTCTCATGTAGTCAGTTGCATATGTTGTACATTCAAGTCAATGCCTGAGCATGACCCAATCATTGCTTTGGCTCAAGTGCTGAAAAGAGCGCGTTGCTCGCGCTTCCCACAAGGTTAAGGGAGAGGTCGCAGTCACGGAGGGGTTCGTTCCTTTTAAGGTCCCGGGTTCCCCCGTTGTTGACAAAACTGTGTTTCCCTCTCCTTTGAGTCATGTACATTTGTATATGTATTATATATATATGTGACAGTGTGAGTCGAATGTGTTTGACGCATGTCAGCGTGTCAGATTCCGAAGCCCAGGTCGCAAACGAAGATGATTTCCATGAGGCCGGATGCGCCTGTTCATGTTGTGGATGGGCCAAACGGCAACGTGAAACGCCGCGGCCACTACTTGACATTGACCGTTTGTGTTGTTGTGAGTTAGGTTTGTTTGGTGTGTTCATGCTTAGCAACATGTTCAGCATGATGTTTGTTATGTTGATTATTGCAGTCGATCCTTTTGTTCCATGCGTGTAGCACAGGTAGACAACGCTGCCTGAATTGATGATCCGCTCTAGCATGATAGCTTTGTGAGTGATCCTTGATTTGAATCATGTCGTGGTACTTGTCAAGCCCCTGTGTTTATACTCGCTGTATAGGTTTGCGAGGGGAGCATTTTGGTCAAAGGTCTAGCCCATGTTCGGATCTGCCTGATGATGTTGCCAACCATCGAGGCAGCTTTTTGGTCAGGCAACACTTACATGTCACAAGAATACGGCGGGATGCCTTATTGAATCCGTTGGGCTTTGTTTGTCTAAACAACCAAACACGATACGGCCCCCATTGGAAGGGGAGCCAAACAGGCGGTTGCTCGATCAATTGGTTCTTCGAAGCATGCAGCAGCGGGCTAACCCTAGTAAATAGTAAGCATGACTTCACTCTGGCTTTAAAACACCCAGACCTATCTTCACAGCGGGTCTCACACTTCCGTCTCATGCTTCGTCGGGGTCGACATGCGGTACCATCTGAAGAATTATTTTCCATGAATCCATAAATCGAACGCCGAAAACTATTTTTTTTCTATCAGGTTTAATTTGGATTGTAGCAAAGCCTGTATACACCTTTACAAGCTAGATTGGCAGAATTTGATGTCAACGAATATTTTTGCGCCCCGGTTGGCGCCTCTCCGCCAGCCTGCGCCGCTAGGCCTCCCAAGCCATTTGCGGCAAGCTCTTCCTCGAGCTCTGGCCGCGCGCCCGGAGTCGAGAGAGAGAGAGAGAGAAAAGAGTCTCAGAAGTTTGTGCGGTTCCCGAAATTCGGGGACCAACCCAGGCAGAAAGAAAGAAAGAAAGAAAGAGATATTGGGGTTCTCAAAATGGCATCCTGAATTGCTTGGTTCTATTAAGGGGTCCACCATTTTGAGAAAGTGGGATATTCTCAAGACAGCCAAGTGCGCCGAAGGTCCGCGGACATGGAGCGGGGCTTCCCGATGCCCAAGGGCTGTTACTACAAGGGCTACCCCACAGGCAACCGACGCGAGGCAGGGCCTTGCCGCCTGGTGGGACTCCCGAGCCTCCAGCTATGCCATTTAGCACCCAACCCCGCATTGCCATTTTTTGAGCACTGGATGGTCAGGACATGAGTTTCGGCTGCAAGCAGTCAAGGCGTCTAGGCCGTGAATGCTTGGGCTCCGATTGACAATATGATGGGAGGCCTACAGTTGGTTTGTGACGGACTGCGGCGAGAACCCAACCACGAGCACCAGGGGCTCCATGTTCCCAAGTTCTTTCGGAGCATTTTGCGTATTGTTGACGCCCGATAAATGGACATCCCAGACATTAGTCAGGGGGCCCTCTAAAAGAAAGACATCGCCACCAAAAAAGTGGTTCTATTATCCAGAGGTCGACAGTATGCGGTGGGTTTCGCATGCACGCAAAGTCCGGCTGGGGCCTGTCGCGCAGGTCTTTGTGGTCTTCGAAGGCAAGAACGGGCTCCGCCTGGACACGACATATCAGATGGCCAGGGCCACAGGACCTTGGCGTGGCTACTCTTTGGTACGACCGAAAACAACGGTCAACCGTTCGGATAGTTGTAACTTCGCGAGATACGTGCAGAGCACAAGGAGGAACTGTTGCAAGTTTGGAAGATTACGTACTGTTTCCCCACGAACTAAGGCCTAGTTGATTCATAGGGGATGTCCCTTTGTGAGGAGCCCCTTCACTTTTCGGGAAAGACCCAAGTAATCCGCCGGTTGTGTTGATACAAGGTAGAAGCGTTGCACTGCTGCCGATCAACATGGAACCGAACAAAAGCATTGTGGTTAGAGGAGTCTTCTTCTGCGGGCAGGGCGCCTTTTCGGGTTCCATGGCAATCAATCCGACCGGGAGTATAGTATGATGAGGCAGTCCGGGGGCGATATGTTGACTTGGGGAAGGGAGAATAACTTGTCCCGGGCTCGCTTGCTGAGGTGTTTGAGGATGGCGGCCGCATCGTTTGGCCTGTGGTATCGTTTGTCGTGTTGGTTCTGCTTCTTCTTGGAAACAAAGCAATGTTGTTTTTTTGTTGCGGATATTCTATATGGGTCTATTTTAAAGGGACACCACCCATAATAACATTGCTGGTAATACTGGCCCAACAATAGACACCCTGGTTGATCAATAGGTGTGTCCCATTGACTACAGTAATTTGATTGTTTTTCTGGTCCTCAGTAGGAATCAACCTGGGTTTGGAATGAACCTTGGGATTTTCTCAAAGGAAACAGCAAGGACTTTCACAGAGGGTCTTCCCCCTCATTCCCGGCGTAGAACCGGCAAGCTGTCTGAGGTCTTCAATGGCATTGTGGGCCTGGCTCGTTGCTCGACATTTGGCGGCCTGGCAACAGAGCGAAGGGACAGTTCTCCAGCTGGCGTCCTCAAAGTAGCTGCTTTTTGAGGGGGGTTGTCGTTTTGCCCACCCCAGTTGCCCAGTGGTGCCCTTTTCTCCCTTATTTTGGGAAGGCGTCCCTTTAAACTCAACCAACCAAAGAAAGGATGCCCTTTTTTCCCCTGGCCACTGGGCATTTGAGCCACCATGTACTGGCTTTGAGGGTGTGCTGAAATGGAGCTAACATCACGCTCAGCAAATGCATGGGCTTGGAGATGAGACCCATGCGTCATTGAAACTGCACACAACTTCCCAACTTCCCAGGCGTTGCCAGCCGTTTGATCCAGAATCTTGACACCGGACAAGTTGCGACGTGAATCAGGGGGCCCTTCACCGGCTCTTTTCCAACGAGCTCCAGCTTGCAGCAGAGGACGTGTTTGATATGTGTTACCTTCAAGGCTGAGCTCCGTAAAGGATTCAATGGTTCACTTCTGTAGAGTTTCTGTAAGTTGCGTCTCAGACCTCGCATCGAAACCCACTTCATGTATGGCATTGCCCACATTTGCAACCTCCAAATGGCCGACATGTTGCTAAAATATTATCTGCATGGATGGGTAACACACTCAGGTCCGCCGGCGCTTTTTGCCTTTGCCAGGTGCGAGAGGACCTGGACCCTCCACTGGTGAACGAAGTGGTGCAGAACGCCCGTCTTTTGGAGCCGGCGCCTGAGTCGAAGTGGGTGGAATGATAGGTTGGGGTTGCCGAGCCATACCCTCAGAATTTCCAGCTTTTCGAGCTTCTAGAGTTAAGACATGCCTTACAAAACCATACATATATATATATATATACATTTGGCAAGGAGTTAAAACGCCACTAAGATACCTTCTTGGAGTGGATCCCAGGAGTTGTCTCGTATGGATTTGATGTGGTAGTTGATTCTAGGATTTGATTCCTTTTCCATTCTGTGCGACCATCATTCTTCTCAAAAACCCCTTGTGTCTGTGTTGGGTTTGCTGGAAAGACGGATCCCTGAACGGAATGCAGAAAGCACCGCTAGCGAATCCCGCTGGCCTTGGCTCATTTTCGGCGGATGGGATATGGCCTCAGGATGCCTCGTTGCGCCTCTCGAGGGAAACCCATTTCTAGGGGCGCCTTGTTTGGGAAGCTTGGGGAGGTTCGCTCAAAATTGCCAGTATCCCATGTCCAACCTGGCACGGGTGCGGGGCTCAATAATCATAAGACTCAGGAGGACTTGCTTTGTCCAATGCGGGGAGCGTATATTTGACGTTGGCGCACGCAGGAACTTACCATCAGAGTTGCGGAAATGAGGGGCTGGTTCCTACTTGTGTGACACGAGGAAGTCTCTAATAAGGGTATTGTTGCATCGTCATTTTGTGCATCGTATGTTTTGTGTAATTATCATGTTACAATGTCAAAACTGAGTCATATATGCCGCATGTAGAATATGCATGTTGCTTATGTGTTGAGACATTGTTTTGTCATCTTGTGTAATTTGTTTTTTTCATACGTGTCCTTTTAGATGTGACATGTGTTGTGGTTAGTGTTGTTCCTTCCTTTCACGTGGCGAAGTAGTCTTTGGGGAGGCTAAGTCCCGGAAATGGTTGTAATGCCCACAACCCTGCTCAGGATCTTCCCCATGGACGATGTGACTTCGCGACCCTACGAGGCAATGCATCGGTGGTTGAAGATGTCGGATGCCGTCGGTGACGGCTGTGCCGCTGACCAAGGATCAGTGTCCCACTTTGCCCCTTGATCCGGTTCGTTTGCACAATTGCTCCTTTTTGCCAGGTATTGGTCTGCCTTTTTGTAGTAGCTCCCTACCCTTCCCCCCCCCAATTTACCCAACATGGAAGCACAGGAAATGCACAACTCTCTTTTGGACGACTACTTTGCCGTTGGAAGAGGAGCCTGTGCACTCCATGTTTGCTTGTGGAGAGTGCCAGCTCTATCTCTTTGGCCATTTAACCAGGAGTCATCTAGAGCTTGCGAGGTTGGACAAAGACCTGCGGAGATGGAGCGAAAACGCTTGTGTTTTGGGTTGCAAAATCCATACCGCTTCTCATGGCAGTCGTTTTACCATCCCACTGTGCCACAGCCTTGGGAGAGAACCTCATCTCGTTTGTCTCACGGGGAAGCGCCATAATTTGGGCAGTGTTTCTTCTTTCTTTGAACCAACCCCAAACAGGTTGCCCCAAATAGGCACTGAAACGCTTAAATGTTTGTACATGGCAGACACCCGCCAAACTGGTGGCTGTTATTGACTTCCAACAATCCTGGAAGTTGTCAGTCGGAGGATTGTTGATATCTACTTCCGTTTGCTTGGACAGAGTGCAACATGGGTTGTTAGTTTGTTGGATAAACCCAATCTAGAGTTCATACACATCTTCTGTCTATGTGGTGAGCTTCCTCTCCTTTACTTGGTGAATCCACTGTTTGTTTCAGGTGTTTGAATGGAAACAAACGCGGATTGCTTCAATTGCTCGTTGGAAAAGCCCGGTTGTCCCATTCATCCTACACAAATGGGTTATCAATTTGTTGGACAAGCTCAATTTGGCCCCTATATATATATATATGTATGTATGATATATATTTCTTTGATTGCTTTCGTCGGGCTCTCCCTGCTGTCCAATACAAATTTAGATCCATCCACCCTTAGTGGTCCCTATAGTCACCAGTAGTCACTATGCAATTTGCTTCCCCTTCTCTGGCGTTGCATTAATAAATGGTTCAATATTTTCATAGAGAACCCTTGCAATGGTGGCTGGTGGACATAAATGCCCTCCTAAATGATGTCCAGCAAAGGGTCCCCAATTAAAATTTTATACCCGTCTAACCCATATGATCTGGTTGCAGACGGATGGCCAGGCCATTGAGCGAGGCACTGTGACGCTCACCACCGAGCCCAAGGTTGGCACCGGAAGCTGGGGGGGAGCTCTGTGGATGGCACTAAATGGGTAGAGTCCTTGCGGGCTGAACCCATCAACCAACTGCTGCGAATGAGATTTTCTCCTGGGACAGGATTTCAAGCCCCAGTGGCTTGGAAGATCACGTTTTGGGAATGCCAGCTTTAGCTGAGTTGTTAATTCTTTGGTTTGATGTTTCAAGGCGACGAAGACTGTGGGTCAACTATTTGGTGGGTTTCCCTTTGGCGAGGTGATATGAAAAGCCCGGCCGGCCCTTCGCAAGGCCGGCTGCTAAGCTTGGACGCTGGATGCTTGACGATTGCGCCGTTGTAAGAGCTGCTGATTTCAGCCCAAGCCGGAGATTGCCGGGCATGGGCACATAAATCGACACCCCAGAGTTGCCGAGGTCAACATCTGCTTGGCAAAAGACAGGCCATGCCCTCTTTACCTGGCAGATTTCTTTGGTGATCCCTGTCTTTCGCCTCCACTCGAGGATCAGCCAGACCACACACTCAGTATGCTTATAATGGTTTTAGACATGACAACTGACAGGGGACTGGTTGGTGTGATAACCGGGATCCTGTGATGTGAGATGACTAGCGGTTCTGTTTATCAATCTTGCACTCAAAAGTTGGGGATCAGCTGCACCCTGCTCCAAATACAATTTGTTTGAAGGGTGTGCTTGGAAAGGCATGTTGTTTCACGGTAAATGCCACCTTTTTAAGTCAGGTGCTGGCGTGAAACCCTGAAAAGCGTGTGTGTGTGTGTGTGTGTGTGTGTGTGTGTGTGTGTGTGTGTGTGTTTGGAGTGGGGTACCTTTCAGGTTATAGACATCCATGCAGGCTGCTTCGCTTGGCACTTTGGCCATTTTTTGTCAGTCTCCACTACCCCCAAACCACTAAGCCCCAGAAGGAACAATCAGAAGCAAATGGGTATATGATCATCATACAAGAGTCATTCCTTCATCACTTCCCCTAAGGCCACGCATGTTTGTGTCTAGTGGCAACCATTTGGGCAGATAGCGATCTTGCAAAGGGGATTTGCGACCGCACCCAAGATGGTGTGTTGCTCGTTCCTTTTGGCTGGTCTTGAAGAGCAAGTGTGGGTTGGCCGTGTCTCCGCGCAGGTGTCACTGAGTTGCCTGAATAAGCTTCATGAGTCTGTATATGTCCCTTTGGCGTGAGTTTAGCACCTTTGAGGCCAAAGATCGAGTTTCCCATTGGAGGGAAAATGCTGAAAGGCAACAGAGGAACACTGACCCCCTATATATGGGTTGGCTGGAGCGTAGATTAAATAGATGGGTTCCACTGCATCAAATTGGTTGCAATCATTTTGGCAGAGTCATTTGTGTTTACCGACAGGACAGCTAGGCCCGCACAGGGACATGGTTAAGGGAAATTGGGTTTAAGGCCAGTTTCCGTGAGGGCCCCCCTTTATATAAGGTGATAAAGTAGTCATGAAAATGGACCCCCACTTTGGTTTTCGAAGAAACAAGCACATGGAACATTGCTCGGAACTCCTAGTTTGAGAAGGCAAGAGCTTTTCTTGGTGGGTGGGGGGTGGGGGATGGGGTTTGTGGGCATAATTAATGAGGTGTCCTTTTTGGTTGTTTAGAGAAATCGATGGCGATTTCTGGTTTACCTGGTGGTTTAATCATCTACCACCATCTATTTCCCCCAAAAGGACACCTATGTCTGTGGGGCCTATGTTTGTTTCCCGTTGTTTTGGATCTCTTCCACTCGTCCCCGGCGCCTCGGCCTCGTTGGCCAGTCGCCCACGCGGACGGAGCTGGGAGCGGAGGACCCCCAGTTCGCGCCGGGCGGATTCAAGATCCTGGGCGCCTGGGCGTAAGCTGATCCAGGGATCCCAGGTCCCCCAGTGGCCCTTCTCTACCGTTTCTTTTTGGTTGAGGGTTCCCCTACGGAAATAGACTACAGAGAAAAAGTTGGTACCCTTATTCTAAGCTCTCTACTGGAGGACCTAGGATCCATTCAAACCACGAAAAATGGGACTTCTCTTGAGATTGAGGATGCCCTTAAAGCAAGAGGTTTCCGGGAAAGGGAGATCCTGGAGAGGTCCAGGGTAAGCCCCTCCAGTTGATCCTTTGAACCCTTGAGCCCCGGGTTAAGACAGAAGGGGCTCTCAGAGGGATGAGGATTCGAAACGGGGCGGGTGGGGCCTAGAAATGTTCAGGGTTTACTGAATCCTTTATTGAACAAATTCATGGGAGCGGCATAAGGCCTCTGTTTGAGATGAGAGTGTTCCAAAGCGTTCAGCTTCCATGATTGCTGGAAAGGGCCTGAAAGTGGACAGAGTTCCACCCGGGTGAAAGTAGATGGCACAATTCCCACCCTGTTGGAAAGGAGGATGACACCAGCATGCGGGAATTGCATCTATTGTCCAACGGGATTCGGCCAAAGGAACTCCCTGGTCACCCTCTTGCCTTCTGAAAATGCCTGGACCGGAGAAGGGGCGATCCTTTCACGTCCTCACCTTATCCAACAACTAGACCCTGAATGAAGAGCCTTGGGGTTCTGTGCATTCGGACGCGGAAATGATATTCCGTGGGGCTTTCCAGTCAAAAGGGTGCACTCAGGACTGAAACACCGCGTTTTTTTTGCTGTCAGTGCTCGGCAGGTTTTCGCAGCATGGACATCAGAACTCCTCTGCCCCCAAAGGTGTCAACATGTAAACCCTGGGCTCCTCTAGGGCTTTTCAGGTGCAACTTGTACCAAAAGGGGGGATCAAAAAGCAACCCTCCGAAGGAACAAGACACAACACCTATCCGTTATGGTTGTTTGGCCACTTCAAAAGGCTATCTTCCAAAAACCGGGGCATTGCTTTTGCGAGGGCATGTGCTCCAAAACAGGGAGGGCCCATGAAAGCAGGTGCCATCGAATCCGATTCCATGAAATCCCAGGCGGATACCAAGACCTCCTCCAGATCAAGGCAATCTTTGGGAAGGGAATTGGTCGCCATGCGTGGGGTTGATAGTGTGCCCATATCTCTAATTATTCTGAATTTGCACATACATAGTCCTTTCCACTCATTGCACATGTATTATAGCTTACTCGGCAGACATCCAGGTTCCTCATAACATGAGCAACGGGCACTCTTGTTTTTGGTGGTCCCCTATCAGATTCTGCAGGAATACGGAATATTGTCGGACGTCATACCTTCCAGCAATTACACCTCTGATCACTGCTCATCTATGTAGCACTCAAGCTGCACATCGGAGAGCCGAAGATCGAATCAATAGCCCTGCAAGCCGCTAGCCTTCCGCAGACAAAGGGGGACCTTGCCAAAAGGCAAGTCGATTGTTCAACTGACCGCTTTGGAGATTGCTTGGCCCCGACATGCCACACTTGCAAAAAGCTCAGAGAAGCAAAGCAGGAAAGGGACGGCAGGGCTGGGGGGCTTTTTGGCAGCCGGGAAGATGTCCAGAAGTTCTCTCGGGAAGAGCCGCCTTTGATCCAATCCCCATGTCACTCGGATGTTCCAGGTCTCAGGGCCGATTGCCAAAGGCTTTGGCGCAGAGTGGCAAATGGCCCCGAAGCGTTCGTCGCTCCGAAAACTCGGCGGGTTGGGGTGTTCGGTTTTCACCCCCATGCAGAAAGACTCAGTGGCTTGTTTGCCAGGCTGGCGAAAGCCCGAGACTCAGACATCGGTGAGCCACAGACCTGGGAAGCAACCCTTGGATCCACAAAAGACACGCACCCGCCAGTGATTTTTTTCTCCCTTTATATAAGGCCATCCCAGAAAGGGCACCCTCAAAACGAACACACAAAAGCAAACGAAGAACGCACGCACGCACATTGCAAATACGTCACCATTGTGTATCTTCTAAATGCCCTCAAACTCGTTTCAAGATGGCCAGGGTCACCTACAAGTGTTTACTGGACCCTGGACTCTGGTAAGCGTCAGTGCCAAATATGAAAAGAGAACATGGAGACTTCAGGTGGATGTTTTGTTGTTTCCTCATTATGTTCAAGTTATGTTGTCACAATGAAAGAAGTCCGGCGTCTCAAGGGCTTGTCAAGAAGTTTTCAGGCGTGTCACCCGGACTTATGATTGCATCTATACCTATTCAACAGAGTACTGAATTCCCTGTCAGTCGCTTCGTACGAATGGACCGACGTGTTTCCTGCTCTCAGCAGGTGCTATGCAGTATAGAAGAGCGGGTTGTGCGTGCGTGCTTGGAGACTTTGACCAGCCAGAGCCATGCCTAAACCTCAGGCCTCTTGGGGGCACTGCTCAGATTTAAATGACAGAGACGAGAACAACGCGAACTGGTGCAAGACGTCTGACAGGATTTCATTCCCAGCATGTTTTGAACCCGGCACAAATTGTCCACTTCGGATTGCTTTGGAGACAAGCGTGAGCCGCCCCTGATAAGCGTTATTCCCTGCTTTAATCCGAAGCTGACAGTACACTTGCTTGGTTTCTGAACGAGCTGCTGATGAACATAGTCATTGAGTCAGAGCTCCGGATGCATCATAGGAACCTGTCCGCGGGGTTGCGTGGATAAAATCAGGCAGTGGGTGGGTGTGGGTCAAAAGTAGGTACCCTGAATGGAACCCTGCTAAATGGAAACAAAGACTATAAACCTGCGGTTTGCTGGTGGTTCAATTTTGACCCATGCCAGAATGTCAAGGAAGACAAAAGAGCAAGGGGCTTCCACCTGAAAGCCTTGGGCTGACTCAAGGCCTCAACGTGGAGCTCATGGGCTTCCCGACCACAGCCGGGCGCATCCAGGGAGGGCCCAGAGCCCCAGACGGCCAGGGCTCGGTCGGGCAGTAGCAACATGAAAGGATTCCCCTTTCTTCAGCTTCGACTGAGATGATCAAGTGGTTTTGAGCCAGGAATCAAAGAGAGGATCGAAACGTGACTGGAGCAATCCAAACAAAGAGGTCCGACTGCCCGTGGACTTTTGCTGGAACAGCTTGACATGTGTCAGCCGCACAGGGATTTGGAGCCGGGTTTCTCACCCTCAAGGACTTCTTGCTATGGGCTTCTGCTCGGCATATCCTGGGCTTGTCTAGGCATAGCCCCCTGCCCCGGAAAGACCTGCGTTTGACCGGGCGATCAACAATTAGTGGAGCCTAAGCAGTTCAGTGTTTCCCCCGCTGAGCTTAGATCATAATCACTCCGACGGGAAATACTGGTCGCCCAATCGGCAGCCATCAGACTGTCAAGTGAGATCAGCTTGGGCAGGGTAAATCTTAGTAGGAGGGCGGTGGTGAAGTATAAGCCTAAGGCTTTCTCCTTCTAGTTTCTTGCGATTTTCGGCTTGAACATTGAGTTGTTTGGGGCTTGCTGCACAACGATGTTCACAGGCAATGATGCTCCATGACGCATATCAGCCAGCTTTCTTTGCTCATGACACATGCCCGCCAAAAATAAACTCGGGCTGGAAAATGTGAGCTGTCGCGCCAGGGACATCATCCGCATTTTCCTGTGGCCGCTGACACAGCTTCAGCCTTAGAGTCCGCTTACAGCTGCATAGCCTTTTCACAAGGTACTCGAGTGAAGCATATGTGCTTTGTTGGTTTGTTGGTTGGTCTTTGTTTGTTTGCTTGCCTGCTGTTTTGCTTTTGCTTGCTTGGTTACTTGTTTGTTTTCTTTGTTGTTATGTTTATTTGTCTGTCTGTTTGTTTGCGGAATGGTGCGAACGTGAAGCTGGGGTTTCTGTCAGAGTTGCCATCGTATGTTTCTCGTTTGTTGTATCGGGTTTTTGTTCGAAAGTGGGTGGGCTGTCGAGGGTAAGCTTCTTTGCAGTACCTAGCGCTGCGCGAATCGGGATCGCAGTGCTTGAGCACGGCAACCAAGCAGCCGGAATTGGAAGCAGCGTTGTTTTCGCTTGGAAGCTTGTTTCAGGTAAACAATCATTTCGAACTTCCTGTTCCTCTCAAAATCAAATGAGAAGGCTTACTCCTCAAGCTCCAAACCAAACCACACATTTGGGGTAAGCTTGTTTGGCTACGGCTACGTGTGACGTCGTTGTAGTGAGCGCATGATTTGGTTCAAAGCCGGGGCTTGGGAGCAGGCCGAGGGACCTTTGATCAGAAAGGGAGTCTTTGGCGATCTAGGCAGAAGCTGGTGGATTCAACCACTCCATGGAATGTTGAAGCACACACACATGGCTGTGGTTGTCAAAACCAATAGTATCCCATTTTGGTTGGTAGGTGAATTCACCACCCATTTTAGAACCGATTTTAGTGGGGATTGGGATGTTCACTGGGGGTACAGGATTTTGACGCATGGCCACATGCCCTCTGTGTTTCTGTGTTCCGTGTCAGGTCAGTGAACCAATGACAAGCACGTTATCTATCATGTACGGCATTGGGATAGAGTTCAGCCGGGAGTGAGGGGTTATGCAAGCAGCATGACTGCTGTTTGACTATATGGCAATGCCCACGTTCATCGGACTCTGTGGCCCCACATGCGCATCATGGGCCTTATGTTGCCCACATGGAGCCTGGGGAAGGAGGCAAAGTCCACCAGGGTTGATTAATTCTGTTTTTCCTCGTTGTGCAATGATGAGGTCACAGGCCACTAAGGCTATACTTGAATTGGAAAAAGCCGCCGAACAAATCGGACATTCCTCATGTCCAAGGGTTCAAACAAATGATGCTTTTCGTGCCAAACTAGGGTACCCGTAAAATGTGTTCATTTCCCTGCAGACCACCCCCCCCCCCAAATATCTACAGACACCTACACAGGCTGACTCCGGCATTTTTCCGAGGTGGCAGACAACTAGTTCCTGCACAGCCCAGTGCATTGAGAGCGGCGAGGACGGGAAAAACTCATCCTCCCAAAAACAAGCATGGTTGTCATTCTTGGAGGGAAAACAAAGTAACAGCACTGTTTTGGGTTCGCCCAATCTTGACGCGTATCCACATGGAGCTCTTTCAGAGACAAGGCTTTCCCATGGACCCTGGCCTACATTGGAGTCTTGACCCTGGAACGTGCGGTCCAGCGTCAAAAGAGGGCTGGTCATGAAGCGGTTTTATGCGCAAAAACAAACACTTGGATTCCAAGAGAATCACGAAGGAAGCATGACCCTGACCGGAGGACTTCACGACATATGGTCTGTGGGCTGAAATCGGGATTCATTCTCGGGCTAAAAGGATGCAGATACCATTCCCAGATGCGAATAGAGGCGAACATATGGGAAGGGGTATGGAAGGAAAACCCTGAACCAGGGCTATTGCGAGTCTGACTCCTGGTTTGCCGCAGGACCCCCCCCCCAAGCATGCTCATGTTCATGCAGCCTGCCCCATGGACTCGGGTACGTTCCTTAGTTTTGGTGGAATTGGCAATGCCGTTTTGAAGAGACCCTCGGACCATTCAGGGACAGACAGAAGTGTTTGGGAGTTCCTAAAGACAGGTCTGGGCTTCCTCCAGTAGGCATTCAGACTTGGCGGAGTCTCAACGAGGCAAACCGTGTTGGGAGCACGAACGACCAAAAGCAAATCGAACCGCATTTGGGCGGACCACATTCAAGGGCCCTCTTGGGGAGACATGTCATTTTGACCGGGCTCATATAGGTGCCTCTCAAAGTAAGACTATTCTTTTGGATAGGCCCAGCCAAAAGCAACCAAGCACCTGGAAGGGACTATCATGAGAAGCTGAATTAAGGCCCTTTTTGTACATACCAGAAAGGTTTTCAGATGTTCTCAGAACCCTTCCAAGAACTGAGATTTCTACGAATTGTTCCGTGGAATCGTTTCGGGTCTCATGCGCCAGATCAGCTTCCTCTGCGGTCAGATCACCTCCTGCCTGGGTTTGCCTACGGTGCCAGGTGAGCCGATGGCTCCCGGTGCCCCTTTTTCAGGTTGAAGGGAAACCGAAAGGAACACTCTCCCAGTTGCCCAGTGGTACCCTTTTTTCCTTTGGGAAGGCTTCCCTTTAAACTCAACCAACCAAAACAAGGATGCCCTCTTTTACCCCTGGCCACTGGGCATCCTATTTGACACATAAAGGGACTCCGAAAAGAGTTAAGTCACAATGAAAACCTGTCAAAAGGTTAGTTGAGGGACAGTCCCAGCCATAAATTGGTGCAGATCTCGACCCTTTTCACTCTTCCCGTGGCGTTGGGCACATTTTAAGAACATATGTTGGCTTGCACTCGAATGAGTTGAGGTTGAAGCAACACGCGGTTTGAACATGTTCAATGGGGTTGTTGGCCGTACCCTACCTATTTCACTCCAGGCTTCTAGATACATCCTCGGCTACTGAAACGGCGTTTGACATTTTGTTTTGACCGCAGTAGCGCTTGCTTTGTTGGGTTGCTTGGATGGAAAGCCAAAGGAACACCAACACCACATTTGATTGGTGGCAGCCCACCACGGGGATCATTTTCCCTATTTGGGCTCCCCTTTGTCGAGCCAAGCACAAAAAAGGCGAAGTTGCCCCCTCATGAAGTGGAGTGCTCAAGCTGTGGTGTGCTGTAAACTCACAGCTGGCCCCTTTGTCGAGCCAAGCACAAAAAAGGCGAAGTTGCCCCCTCATGAAGTGGAGTGCTCAAGCTGTGGTGTGCTGTAAACTCACAGCTGGATCCACGCCTTCAAGAGGTTCCCGCCTTTGCAAATGGCTGGCTGAGGTGGCGTGTTCCAAAAGTGTGATCCTATGTGCTTCTGGAAGATTGGGCAGACTTGAGGCCATGAGCAATGCATGTGGGGAACATGTTGCATGGGAAAAAGCACAAGCTGCATCGCGTTCACAGTTGGGAAAGTATTTGTTTGGTCCATGTTTTTGGCTTTCTCTGTTCACTCACCCACATCCGGGAAAGCCATCGTTCACGCTCCAGTTTCACCAAGGCGAAGGAGTTTGGCGGCGGAAAGCTGAAAATGTTGGCCGCTGGCACGCGAGCCAGGCATGGCCCTGAACATCCTGAAGATTACGCTGCCGTCCTGCACGCCCGCAGCGTGTTTCTTTGATGCAAGCCCGGCATATGTTATGGGCCGCAAGAGCGCACCACCGAATATACAAGAATGTCACTGTATAATATCATATATATATATATGCATACAGAGGTACACATATACAGACACATGTTTATGTTTACATAGCAGCTGAGACATACGCTTGGTATTTCATACGTACACATATATTTGTGTTGGGTCATCATTTTCCATGGCTCGTTATGACGTCTTGGCCACGTGGCATCTAGCATTTGCTGGACTACCTTTGAGCGCCAGGATCTCTATGGCAACCGCAAGGTCCGCATTCAGATTGGAGGCGCCAAGGGACACAATGCGATGAGTGCTTGAAACTTGAAGCCAGGGACCGGGGGAGTTGTGTTTTCCAACTAGGAAGGGTTTTGTCTTGCAGTTTCCTCAATTAGCGTTTTCAATTCGATTTATCAGGAACATGCCGGTGCGGCTTGCTGGGTTTCTAGTTTCTATTGGCTTGGTATATCAGTACAGTGTACCTGATCGATTTGCACTTGCCCACACGTTTTTCGGTAGGTCCTGCCTTGCCGGTGTCACACTTTCAGCAACTCGGTCAGGCGTCACCATCCCTTCGGGCGGCTTCTTTGCCCAGCGGCTAGCAGCACAGGCCAGAAAGCCGAGGGGTTAAAGACAGCCTGTTGATTCTTCAACGGAGGTTGGTGTTGTGTTGGCTGGTTTTGAAGTGAGGTCTCCCAAACACTTCACGTACTAGTTGACAGATTGTTGTTGGGCCCATTTGGAGGGTGCATGTGGGTCGACATGCCATGCACGGAGTGACTGATTCTAAAGCTAGTTGCGCAAAGCAACGCAAAGATGAATACATGGATGAGTCCCTTCAACAGGCAAACCACACACCTTGGAAGTTTAGTTCAAAGCCAAAATTATATTATTATCATGGCTCCTTAGTGTTGAAGGCACCCATCTTCGCAGTTCTCTGACTGCCTAGCAAAGGTTTTCAGGGGGTTGCGTCATCGGGCAGGATCTGCTTGGCCGCAGGGAGCAGATCAAGTCACTAAGTGGCGTCGATGAAGTGGTCGACTGGCGTGCAGAAGTAGAGCACCTCCACTTAATGTTAACCCCGGATAAATCAACCCCTGGTTGATTAATAGGGGGTGCCCCCTTTTAATGGTTGGATTCAGACCACTTTTGGAGGCAACACCCCCCTAACAATGGGACGGGTTTATTACTCCTGGGTCAACATTACAGACAACAGCAAAGGATTCAGACACATCCGCGGGCTCAGGAATGTCAGCGGAACCTGCGATCCGTACCATGGCACTGATGCATTAACTCAGCTTCAATCGAGCGACCTGACTTGCGCCGCACGAGAGACTTGTTTCGAGTGAAGATGTTGGCGGTGTTTTTGTGTGCAACCAGCTGGTGGCTGGGTTTAAAGGGTGGGCAACTGCCCTTTGTTTCGGCTTTTCGTCTTGCTTTAGACATGTATTTTGTTTAGTCTTGTAGTCCAGCAGACACTCAATCCCTGCAGCTTGAAGACGTGGCCAGGTGTCTGACAACGGGGACTTGAGGCCGAACTATGTGCTTTCCAGCGGGAGCTACATCTGGAAGGCACAGCGCTCTGTGGTCAGTTTTCCTGCAAACATGATCTAACTGATCCAACTGCCCAAGCGTCCGTGGAGGTTGAGGACCAGCCAACGCTACAAAAGTATTGTCGGTGGTGGATGGTTGTTTTTTCTTGGTCCTCCTTCAAACACCACAAACAGGCCCCTAACAACATGGGACACCCCCACCCGGCTTTTATGCAACTGCACTGCACATGGCAGCTCCTGAAAAGAGGAGATGAACGTTTCCCTGCTGCGTCGAGGCCCCTGGTAACCTTGCAAGGCTCCTTGTTGGCGACCAGTTTCGGTCAGTTGAGATTGCATAAGTACTCGAGTCTTTCTTCCCAGAGCAACCGACGCAACTGCCCAACATCTAGAATTCAACAATAATAATACAGTTGCTGTCCGCAGTTCATTTTCAGCGGGTTGACATCATTTTCGTGTCTTGAGGGGAGCTCCGCATGTGACGAGACATGGTGCGGTTGGTTTGCAAAGGGTTCCTTTGGATACCGCAAAAGCGCACGGAGTTATTGGGTTTGGCAACCCTCCTTTTGCATGGTCTCTTGAAGGATGCATTTGGCCCAGCCAAAAGGCTACCTTTCCCAGCTGGATTAGAGAACCCCGTTGGAAGACAGATGATTCTCGCATGGTCCTCTTCGGATGTATCCCTATATTTCTCTAATCACATCAGCCCTACCAAGGCAAGAGCACCTTCCTACGGGCCACAGGATGCCCTTTCAGTACTTCGATGTTTAAACATAGATGCTTGGTTCAGTGTATTTTATGGAACCAGCTTCAAAAAGGATAAAGTTTTCTGGACCACCCAATTTGTTTGTTGTTTTCCTTGGTACATTTCCCCTGTTGGCCGTGGTTCATGACGCGAGGAGCCCAACGTTGGCATCACCACGGCCAAGGTGGTCTCGCAGCTGGGCGGAGGCTCGTCGAGCGCGGTCTGATTTCTTAGGGCTCGTCATGAGGGCACCCCGCTTCCTACCAGAATGGTTAATAGAATCCTTCTAACCAAGCCGTTTCGATTTTGGGGGTGTAGTTAGTAGTGGAACCCTCTTGGAATCCTCAGCAGGTCTACCCAACATCAATTGTGTAGATGTTCAGGGGGACACATACCCAGTTGTTCAGTGGCACCCTTTTGCACTTTGTGTTTGGTGGCTTCCGCACCGAACATGGAATCGTCCCAATACAAAAAGGTTCCAGGGTCGCAGAACAAGTGGGAATCATAGCGACCTCACAAATGGGTTTGCGACGTTGATGACTTCGTTGATGGCGAGCCCAACTTTTGGGTTGTTGAATTGATGCGGTCGGGGTTGAAGCCAGTTGAGAAGGTTGATAAATGCAGAGGCGTTTGTACCGTGCTTTTGTCGCTTGGCTGCTACCATTGTTCGTGTGGGGCGCCCCCACCCCCCAAAGTGCATACCCGCAGGTGGTAAGGCCTTAGGAAGCTCCACTAGGAGCTTTGTAGTCCTACGGCTTGGACTCGGATGCATTTGTGGGGCTTTCAAAAGTATGGCCCCTTAGATCTCGGTGCCTCGTGCCGCTATGGGGATACCAACAAGGCCCCGAAGGTTTTGACCAAGGTCCCTGTGGAACATCGCACCAGGCAACGCCAAGCCCTTCCGCGGCGATACCCTCAACGTGCTCTATGCCAGGCTGTTGGCGCCTTTGTCACTGAAATGGGCATGGGTCCCATGCGACAAAAAACTAAATGAGTATGTGTGTGTGTGTGCTTGTTTTGTGGGAGAAATTACCCTTTTTGGGCTGGATTAAGAGGGAAACCAAAGAGAGTACTGTATGTTTTTAGGCATCCCCTATGTTGACACCACCCAAATGAGTGCAATTTTCAAGTCAACCAACTCTGGCTTAAGCATGTGGGCATGTCTGGAGTTCGGTTACGAGTTTGGTTGCTTTCTTTGCGAATTCTCGTTTAACAAACGCATCAAACAAGGGCCTCCTATTTTGAAACATATAGTACTGTGGATGGGCACCCTGCACCAGTTGGTAGGGGGGTTTTATGGCAGCTTCATCGGGTTTCATCAATTCCGTTTGGCGGGCATGGATCTAAACAGGCCTGTGAAATCAGATTGCATTGACTCTCCCGTCACCCGCCCTCAGCCAGCGCGCAGGCTCACGCTGTCCTCCACCATCAAAGCGAGAGATGACACCTATGCCCGCCGCCCCAGGGATCTGGGTCCAACTCTTGCTTTTGTTTGACCAATCATGTGCCACACTTATGGTCATGTTCTGTAAAGGGTTTTGTTGGGCTTACAGGTAGATTGATTGGGTATCGGTATTGAGTCACGTGGTCCCAAGGCCCCATACCTCAAGGAACGACACACTTTCAGACGATCAAGGAACCTCGTGGAAGGCACAGCTGGACTAGAGCTCGCTCGGCTGTTTGGCTTTCAAGGTACCCCCATTGTTGTGTTGTTTTGTGGGGTTAAACAAGAAAACAACCATTTCGGCGGGGTTGCTAAGTTAGTGAGAAGAGGTGAAGCAGAAGCCTCCTTTTCAAATCAAACAAAAAACGAGTTCAATTACTTTCAAGTTTCGAGGGTTTCCTTTTGGACACCCGTTTGTTGTCAACGTCCCACCAGGGATGTTGTCATGTACCCAGGATGCACCTTTGGTTCCGAACCAACACACCCTTCATATAGTCGGCAGCCGAAAGGGGTATATGGGGACAACCTGTTGTTTTCCCATGTTTTCTTTCGGAACACATGTGCCATGGTCAAACATCCCTTGACTTGAGTTTGGGATGGTCTTGGACCATGGACCCTGAGGATTTTTGTAACGGTTCCATTATTAAGGAACCGCTTTGACAATGGCCGACATTTGGGAAGTTTTTATCATGGCACACTTGACATTGGTCTTTCTGTTTTTCCCTTCCATTTGCCCGTCTCCTTTCACTTGTCTAATCGACCAAAATCGGGTCTGGGATGCAAGGGATGTGGTAAGGGTTGTCAAAATTTGGGGCCCTTGTAGTATCCCCTTAAGGCGTCACAAGGCTTCTCCAGCATCCACCGGTTTTTGACAGAACGCGTCCTCGGCTTTTGCCGAGACCGATGCCTCCTTCACCATCACCCTGCCGCAGGACAGCCTTCGGGTCCAGGGCGAGTCTTGTCACACCGGTCTGTCTCAAAATGGCACCCTGCCTACCAAAAGGTACCGTGCCAGAGAACCAGAGAATGTGAAGGGACCATTTGTCACGTCCCGATGGAGGGTTTTCAGGGGACTACCTAAGCCACTTGCAGGAATTTGTCTCTGTTTGGAGAAAGCAACCGTACCAAGCGCCCGAAACGACTGCGTGCTGTCATCAGAACAGGCCATGTGCTTGAGTCATTTGCAAGGGTAGTGCCCTCCCGATGGTTGGGGGAATTCCCCCATAGACATACCAGCTTCAGGGTCCCATTTAGTCAGACTCTGGGCATCATCAGGCCATGAAGCTCATTTGACAACACCCAAGTACAGACACATTCGGCTATCCGCCCTGCGGAGTTTTGGACCCGGTTTCGATTTTGACTCATTGGGCTTGGCCACGCGGGATCTGCCCTTCTTGCCTTGTCTTGGTGGGAACTCTCGGCAAACTCCACGAAACAGGATGCCCTATGCCCTGTTCTTTTGTCGCTTGGGTGTCAAGTTTAAGTCAACCAACCCAAACAAATAGCGACGCAGGCCTTGCTTTTGTCCCATGGAAAGCCCCCGAAGTGCGCAAAGACAACGGCACAGGGCTACACCTGCCGGGACATGAGCAGCACGACGGCAGGCCGAAAGAACCGGACAGGACTTGGGGCCAGAGCCGCACTCCATTTGGCCGCGTGTTAATGGTACCATCCAAGTCACAGGTGGCAGCTGAAAAAACTTGAAACCCAAAGCTTGTGCCGCAGACGCCAAAATGACCCAAGTCCATTCGAATTGCTTCAGGTTTTCAAATTTACGGACTGCCCTTGTGGCTGCTAGGTTTTGAGTAGCCCGCTTTGCCAGGTTTTGATTATGACTGAAGTAGGCCACACTCAAAGCCAAAGGGTCACTTTCTGAGAAGCTGAGAGAGTTTTATTTCAACTGTTTGTTTTCTCAGTGTTCGGCTTTACATTTTTTGATTGTGGCTTCTGGTGCTGATATACACGTCGGGTGCTCATCAGGGTGCCCTCTCTGGGCTGGGCATTTCATCTGCGCAGGCTCGCGCAAATGTTTCTGTGTGAGATGTTCATGTGCATTGCGACTGCGCAGGTTCGCACGAAGTGCGGGGGCGAATTTGGTGTCTTCCAAGGGTGCGCTCTCGTTGTGGTGCCTTGGGAAGTCGGAAATGGTGGATTCGTGCACTCTCTGCGGACTTTAGGCGTGGCAAGGTGCGAATTTCTATCAAAGTCAAGCTATGCGGAGTTTGGGTGTGTCAAGTTCCTGTCGCTCTCGTAGCGGCGCGATGCGATTTTTCCTATTTTGGACATGGAAAGCGAACCCTCTGCGGGCTTTGGGCGGGTCGGACCGCTCACTAAATTACAAACGTCGAAGTACAGGACCTGCAAAGATACTTTGGCAAGATATCTTGTAGATCCTGGAGCTCTTCAGTACGGGATCCTCTCATGAATCCTACGCACAAATCTTGCGATGAGATCCTATCCAGAGGTCCTGCGCACGGGTTTTGCCAAGAGATCCAGTCAAGAGATCTTGAGCAAAGATCCTGTCAGACTCCTCCCGAAGATATCTTGCGCCGGTACTTCAGACATAGGTTGCGCCGGACCCGGCAAGGTCTTCCTGCTAGTGATCTTGCTGCTGTGCACATATCCTGCCAAGAGACCCTACCCGAACATCAGAATCTTGCGCAGAGATCCTGTAAAGATCTTCCCATGGACATTTGGCCCGTTTCAGGTCTTGCGCAGCACCTGTAAAGTTTTATCCCTTGCCAGAAAAACTTGTAGAGGATGCTCCCTACAGATCTTGAACAGAACACGTGTGAGATCTGATCCAGAGATCTTGCGCAGAGATCCTGGAAAGATCCTTCACTAACAAACAGCGCGTGCGTACCAACGCGCCACAGGACCAATTGTATGATCTCGCACGGTCAATCAACACCGGCTCTTTTGGCGGGCTGCCTGCCAGGGAGTCCATTGTAAATTTGGGTGCCTCTGGCAGGGGTCCTTGCAGCTCTCTGGTTGACGGGGTCAAACACAGGGAGTAGGCAGCTATGAGGACAGTCCAAACGGCAAACAGGTGCGGTCTTCCGCCTCTTTCATCATTTGGCACTTTTGCCTCGGACTCGCCTGCAAACTTTCGGAAAACATTTTCTACGCAGGGGACTTTCGGGCACACTAGAACCCCCCCACGAAAAAAGACAACCAAGTGCAGTAGAGGAATGTGGGTTTAAAGGAAGCACCTTTTCGCATGATGATGCGGGTAGACATAGGGGATGACTTCAGAATGAGTCAACTTCCCTTCAACACAACGCCAATAAGGATGCCCGTGCCAAAAGAGACACCAAAATAAATGCAGAATGCATGTAATCACACTCGCTTGAATTTCTTTGAGGAGACACCAAAGGGAAACCACCCTTATGGATCCCAAAAGGGGCTACGGGGAGGGTGGCTATCTTGAAGGATTTCCAGATTTGAGCAACGCCCAAACCTCCCGTTGGCAATTGAGTAGGGAGCTGTACCTGATTTCTATCGCGCTTGTAGCAAGTCTTATATAAACGTTAACCTGTACAGCCACGTCCATAGAACCGCAAGTCAACAGGTTTGGGCGCTGCTCAAATTGAAGACGCCAGGTAATGCCTGGATGGCGGAATCCACCCTCCCGGCCTTCGGCAGTCAGGCGCGTGGACATTTCCCCCTAAAGCTGCCAAGTATCCGTGCTCCACTCTTGGGATACTTCACAGGAGCTTGGACACCTTTACCTCCCCCGAAAGGGCCCATGGGAAGATCATGGGTGGGGGGGGCAGAGTCAGGCTGCAGGTTGCCATTTGTCCGAGTGACAAAGAGCCAAGCAAAGCGAAATCATGCGACCAACTGCCTTTATTTGCAGCAGACTACAGAAAATGCCGGGCGGGACCCAGGTTCATCAGGGTCGGAACTTCTTTTTTGTTGTTTTCTGAAGGTTTCGATCATTTACATGATGAAACTCCGTAGATGAACAATGGTGGTTATATCAACCGTCATGCTGCTGGAAAATTCCTGCAGATGGTAGGTTCATCCCAGTATCCATAGGGTACCTAGCGTGGATCTCGCCTATCAGTCGTTTGATGGTGGGACTCCAAGGAAGGACTGATTTCGCCCAAGCGGTTGCAGGTCCCACAGGGCCGCGGCACTCCAACAGACGGCAGCGCTACCAACGGCCCGCGCGGGAGAGAATCGATGGTTGCGCTTAGATGGAGTTCCTTAAAGCATACATGTGGGCCAAAAGAGAACAGAAGCATCTTTCTCAGCTGGTTTAAAGGGCTTCCACCCGTACCAAGTGTTTGTTTTTGGATTTTCAGGTGTATTTGTTACGGGACCCAGATGGTTGGCTGACGACCATGACCTAGCTGTCCCTCTTTTGTCTTTGCGGCTTCCAACCACGAATGGCGACCCCTCCATCAGGGGCTGGAGCCTTCACGTGCTCAGGAAGGCCTTTTGCCCATGTGTGTTGCTCCGCTGGATGGATTTTGAGCTTTTCGCTGGGTAGCTGTGGTGCACTAGGTGGTCCTCATGTCCTCGTGTCTGGGCTATATTGGGCTTAACATTCTGCGTGCTGAAGTCATCTCCAGGGCTGAGGGGCTGATCTTTGAGGGTATTGCCATTGACCAGGAATGTAAGTGTGGTTATGAGCAGGACATTGTAGTGACACGTTCTTGTCACATGCATTTGTTGGCTCGTTTATCATAATGCAAAGACGATGCGGGCCATTTCAGACGTTAATGAGCAACCAGTTTGGAAGTGATGACTGGGCATGGAACTGCTGGCTAAAGCGGAAGCCTCAAGGGGGGCGGTTTCCTTTTGGTTTCCCTTCAAAACCATCCAAACACGAGTACTGTCAAGGCAAGACACACCCCTATGAGTTGACAGGTGTGCAGATATCCAGGTGCAAGTTTTCGCGGGTTGCGTCTGCCTCCTGACTGAAAAACAACTGCTCGATCCAATTTCACAGGAAAGACCATTCCCGCTATTGTTCATCCAGTTGTCTGGGCAAAAGGCTGGCTCCGTGTCTAGGACACGGCTATTTGAACGCACTGTGGATTCCACGAATATTGACCATGGTTGTGGTGAAGATTGGAGGATGATTAATATTGACCCTTGCAAGCGATGTTCAAATTAAATGTGTTCAAGCCACTATTGCTTAAATAACCTCCTTTCAGTTTCCTTTTAATAGAAGGATTTGCAACCTCCGTGTGTCGCTTCAGGAAACCTCTGATGATTTTGGATTGCCAGGATGGACGGCCTCCGGCAACCAATGCATCTACACCCCAAAGCATCCAGACGGCATCATCTATGCCGGCTCCTCCCTGGTCTTGGCCTAAGAGATGGGTGTGTCGTTTTAGGGTTGGTTTTGAGGTTCTTTGGTGTTGGAGGTTTTGGAGTTCATTGTTTATCATTGTTTGTTTTCCTCTTTGGGGGAGGTTCCAAGGGAAGTCAAAAGGAAGACACCCATTTTGGGGCGTTCCATAATGAGAATTGGAAGACATCCTGCAGAGACAAGGGCTCATCTGAGCGGATCGGCTCCGCTGCGAGTTGCACGCAGGCGATCCATGGGATCATCGGGCTCGTCTCCACATGGGATTGGAACCGCCCAAATGGGGCGGTGTCCTTTTGTTATCCCTTCAAATCTACCCCACTCAACAACAAGGCGCACTCATTCTTGAACTTATTGCAGCTGATGTTGGACTGTGGCAGACATGTTCCTGCGCAGAGTGCAGCAACTAGGTAGAGAGGACAGGGTGTTCTTCTGCCACCTTGTTTGCGAGACTAGGGCACACCTCCAAGAGGAAGCCTAAACTTGCATTGGGGCCAACCATTGTTGCAATAGGGGTGTGTCGGTTTTTTAGGGGACCCCAAAATTGTGGTGTTCCACTTGGTTTCCCTTTAATACCCCCAACAAGTGGGTACCTTCAAATAGGACGCGCCCAGTATTGCACTACCCTCCATCCAACAATCATGGAAAGCTTGCTGAATCCGAAGGTGTGGAAAGACTACTTTCCTTTTCGGGCACCGGCCAGACCCCCCTCTCTGCATATTGGAAAGAGGGTCTCAACTGGATCAAACATTTGGTGCACTGGTGCCTTTTTACATCTTAGACGAAAGCGACGACGTAGAAACTGTTAAAACCCTACGAATGTGGGTCCTTCTAGCACCCGGATTCCATGGATCTGGCCATATGGCCAGTTGCCCAGGTGGTGAAGATCACAGTGGCCCTTTGCTCAGTCATTCGATTTCAGATGCTTCAAGACAAGTCCTGCTGATTTGGTGGGTTCCCAACCTAAAAATGGGTGTTTTCGTCCCTCTTTGAATCAACCCGAAGAAAGGGTACCCCTAAAAGAGCACGCACAAAATGGAATCGACCCCAGGAAGAGTCTCGTTTTTCTACTGGGTCACTGGGCAACGGAATGGTAGTCGCTTCCCCAGAAGGTTCCGGGGTTCCCCATGTCACACCCGGACCTGGCAAAAACTCACTGTCTCTAAAGAGCCACTTTGTTTGAGGGCCTGAGGGTCCAACATCCATCACAACTACGTATCTTACTGGATTAGATCGTTTGGGCCCAAGGATGAGATGAGAAACCGATGTTTGCTCTGGATTGGCGCCAGGGGTGGTCCCCCTTTCAGTTGGGCATTGTCCAATGTCAAAGATATTTATCAGATTTGCACGGTTGATCAGAGATAAGCAATGAATTCTTTGGTTGGGCTCCCCCCAAGGAGTTTCCTTGACAAAAAAACACAAGCTGTACAGTAATATGTTGCACAAACCTACCTCAAATGAAAATCGATGGACTCTGCAATTTAGTGCTGTCAGTTCAGTCACCGGCATTTGCGGTTGACGTGCTGAGGACAATCCAAGCTTCGCGCTGGAGCGTGCGAACAACAACAACGCACGCTGCTTAGAGATGCTCAGAGGGTGTCAGGGGGGGGGGCCATGTTGTATGGTTCTGCTTTTGCGGTGGCTGGCGGTGATTGCATTTATCCCGAACAATTCGATCCTTAAAACTTCCATACACATGAGCATGCGGTCAATACGAGTGGAAAGAGCATGGACAGCCATCATGATTCATTGTGACATGCAGGGAAGCAAACTCCACGGCATCGGTTGCTATGTTTGCTGCTACGGCTGCTGATTCGGTGGCCGTGGTTCTTGTTGTAGTAGCTGTTGATCATGTTGCCTAGCCTAGCCCTCTCGTGTTGATGCTGTCGCAGCTGCAGGTGTGGACGGTGCACTATACCAACAAAGGTTTCCATCAGTTTGGAAACTTGAGGCGTCCGCGCGTGCCGCGACGTCGCTCATGTAAAACCAACACATATCGACCTTGCCATTGTGAAGTGTTGCTCGTTTATGCCTGTGCAGCTCTGTGCAACTGTGCAGCTATGGAAACAATGCGTTGACTTGCTGTTGGGCCTGTTGGGGCCTAGATATTCCTGCTGAACGCACACATGTGCGGGGCGGAGACTATGTGTATGTTCGAACACACATATATATATATATATATATATGTAAGTAGTCGTGTGGCCGACGGCTCAAAAGCACTCTTTGCTGTTTAAAGCCGAGATGTACACTGGGCCAGCAGTAGATGGAACGATTTTCTTTGTGGAAGCAAAGCGGACTACACTGAAGTGGGGGACGCGTGCCATCTATTTTCACCCACTTGTACTGGCCGAGTTGCCACTTTTTGCTTTCGATGGGATGGCTGAGTGAATCCGAATCGAACCTTAGATCTGTTGGAACAATTTCCTTTGAACCTGTTTGTTGTTGGGATCTTTTGGACATGATAGCCCGATTGAGCCTGCAAAGGGTTCGCATATTTTTTCTGAAAATAGGAATCGGAACCCCGCAAATTGCTGGTTTGCCTTTGCCCCTGAAACCAAACCAAAGTGTGGCCTCAACGGATGACGCATCTGTTTGTTGCAGCAAAAGGAAGACCCATTCGGATGCAGGTTTTTGCTTCCAGGATCCGCCAATCCACGCAAGCCTACCGCTTCTCTTCCGCTGTAGACCCGCCGGGGCCCAGACGGCAGGCAAGGTTGGGAGGGTGTTTTGTAAGGGTGCCCTTTGCACAGGTTGGTTGAGACTTCCGGGAAAGTATCTTGCTCAGGGTTCCCCCTGTTTTTGCACATATAACTCATGCACTCACGAAATCCAGTGCCCTGTCTCGCCTTGAGAAGGCCGATGATTTGTTTTGTCCATGGCCAGGTCTCCGTCAGTGTCAAGCTGTCTAAGTGGGCCCGGAGGAAAACCGCACGTGAGCTGATCACAGGTTCGGCCAAAATGAGTCCGCGGTTCCTTTGGGAGGGACCAGTGGCTCAGAGGGTGTGGGGGAAGCTACTAAATTTCCCACAAAACTCACGAGTCACGACATGTCCCATGTCTTCGGGGCAAACAAAACAAAAAAAGTGCTGTGTCTTGCATGAGGCAATGCGAGGCTTCGTAGGAAGGATGCTGTTTGGAGAAGATCCAGAGCAATGGCCCTGAATAAAGTACTTGATGCGCTGGCCGCTGTTAGATGAGCATGGCAATGAGGCTGACACCACGGTTTGATCAAACGCACTATTTGCCGATGACTGAGGCAAACTGTTTTACACTCCTGGATTGCTTTGCTGAAATCAGGGGAGCCTGTCCAGACAATTGGAGCTCTTTTGAAATATAGATGTTTGAATTAACCAGTTCGGCTATTCTATCCAGACGGGCATGTTGGCGCATCGGGCTTTGGGAAAAACTGAAGCCGTGTTGAGAAACCCAAGACGCCGCTCAGGATGTACCAGTCCAACAATGCAGTTCTCGGGCAAGGGGCCCCAGAACACTCAGAGCAAAGCACACACCCACGGGTTATGATCCGTAGGTTTGCCCGTGGCTTTGCAGACGACTTACAAGAGCAAACCGCAAGCAGAAGCCTGCGTGTTTTTGTTGTGCAGACATGCCCCCAGATCAACACTCCACTGCAGATTAGCGGAAGGTACTTCAGAGGGGAGGCCCTCTACAAATGGGTCCGGTGTAAGGGTCCGTCTTTACCTGCAGGCTCGTAATTCTGTGCTTAGGTGTCCTTTAGGTCTGTGAAACATAGATCGCACATATGGCACGAAGCCATTTGTTCATTTGCATGTTCTCCTGTCTTGGAATTCCTCTATTAGGTGGTTGCAATTTGGATGACACTAAGAATTATGATTTTGGGGTGCCACGCAATCAATCGCTGCAGTGGCGCAGCTGAGGATCATCACTGACGCTTCCTGCCAGCCACAAGTCCTATCCGCGTCGACCGCGAAAGCTGTGTACCAGGAGAAGTGCTTCGCCCTTTCGGCAAAGGGTGTCAAAATAGTGGGAGCCCCAAGAGAGTTTGACAGATTTCCGCCTTTGCTGGTTTTAAACATCACCTTTTTGGCCGGGACCCAAATGTTGAAGGCACAGAATGCATGGTTGCAAGACGGTCAGACGCAATTTGACACGGGACATTTCTGCATTTTTCTGGAGGTTCCACCATTCTCTTCACCCGTGCTTTCAAGAATGGCCCAACATCCTTATGTTTTCTGTTGGGCCATGCAAAAGAAGGATCCCTGAAAAGCACGGGACACCTAGAATCTTGATCGCAGACTACGCGTCGGCGAGGACTTGCACTTCTTCTTCCGCACCGAGCAAGAGGTCGGAAGTCACCGAATTGGTGAAATAGCTGTGTATGCTTGAGGGCCATATAAGGCCAGAATCATTGGAATGGGGTCGTAGAAAGTGAAACCAACGGGAAACTACATTTTAGGTAATATTAGGCTAATATGACTACACCTCAAGGGACGTATCATCCTCGCTTCCAGCATCAGCTTCATGGTCTCAAATCCCACCATCCACTGCTGCTGGTGCGGTATTCGAAGCGAATCCTTTACCATTCCCTTGAGCTGCGACGGGGGTCCCTTTTGAGTTGGTTCCCCCACGGGGAATCAGGATGATTTGGCCGAGCATCAGTTTTGACCCGGCCGCCAACTCTTGGAGCGACCACATCCGCATGGCTTTGTGGGGCTTTCAGAGACGGTGCCCCATGGATTTCCCCAAACTTGCCTTGCGGATTCTTTGATTCTTGGAGAGGGTCTCACGAAGGCCTTTTCAGGGATCTGGGCCGCCACCCTCCTTTCCCTTGCCCTTTCATTACGGTAGTGCTTGAGCAAGTGTCAAGCACAAGTTCAGGTTGGCATTTGGACCATCCACACGACAGTCCCTTCATTCGCTTTTCAAGCCGGGCCATGACCAATAAGTCAAACAAGTGGACTGGTGGCTGCCATGTTGGGCCCCAAGCCGTTAAGCGATATTCACATCCCACCCGACAGGGGTGCAGTTGGTTCTTCCTCTCAGCCCATGACCCACCCAATGGTTCCAGTTGCCACAGTAGAACGCCCTTCCCCATATTCTTCTTGGTTTTTGGAGGGTGGGAACCCCTTGGTTGCCCACTAGACAGGCAAATGGAATCACTGAGTGAACTTTAGCCCTTGAGTTGACTGAAGTCGAATGAACTGACCTGCCCGGGACGCCCTCCCATACATCCAGTGGGTTGCTGTTTGTTGGAAGGGGTTTCCCTTTAAAATCAAGTGCCAACAAAAAGGGCGCCCCTTTTCCCCATGGAAATCCACCGGAGGGGTTGGGCGTTTCAGGCATTGCCTAGAATTGGTCACAACCCCAGCCTGACGCGTGTTTTGGCAGCAGCTCATTTGATTCTGGAAGTTGCAACGCCAAGGCTGAGTGATCTGTTCGTTGATTTTGTTTCCGTTGTTTTTCTTTTTTTTTGTTTAGAGGTTTGGGGTTGGTTTGAAGGGAAAGCGAAACTAAAAAGGAAACCAGGCCCTATTTTGAGGGTTCCCCTACCCATCCCCAAGCCTCCATGTAGGCAAGATTTTCCTCCATTTGCTTGCAATTGCCACTTAATTCGCCTCACATGCTGGGGACATAGCACCTACATGGAGCTTCAGAGCAGGGGCGTAGGCTTGTTCACCTCTTTTCGGGTAGGTGGGCCCTGGCGGCCTGGTACGTCTCGTGGCACCCACCGGCGCCCACCTCGGGCGCGAGCAATGCTATATTCATGAGCTGAAGTATTTGCACTTGCCTGTTGACATATATGTTGCATGTAGGCCTTACCTTCCGCCCACAACGGTTTCGCGTGCATTGAGCGTAGCCCTTTCTTTTCAAGGTTGGTTCGAGGCAAACGGACAACGTGTCACGTTTGTTTTGGGGATCGATGCAAATCCCGTGCACACATACCCACTTCACTCATGGAAATCGGAGGTCCCCCCCGGGTGTCTGAGGCTTTAGCTTCGGTCAGCCCTGCAATGCCACAGACCTGCCGGCCGCGTTCTCGGAAATCTTGGTGCTCCCTCGGGCTCAGGGACAACAAACCCTTGGACCAAAAGGAACGCGGATGGCCACCCATATTGGCCAATAAAAGTAGCAGAGGTGAGGTGAGGCCAACAGTTCGGCTCTATGGTCCGTTGAGGAACGTGGGTGGGACTCAGTGACTTTCCCACAACTGAAGAGGAGATGGAACACTCATTTCCGGTATCCTCTTGGGGAAAGCGTGATGTTGACCATGGCTCAGATGTTTGTTTCCCCCTTTGGCTTTCCTTGCAATAACCCAACCAACGGCTTTAAAGACAGCCACACTCACACCCACATAATGTTGACGCCGAATCGCTTATCCTGGATTCATAGAGGGTCTTTCCTTCAAAGGTGAAGGGCCCCTTTTTGAGTGTTATCCCAGGGGCAGTGAGGGCACAAAAAGAAGTGTATTCCTTTGGTTTGTTGTCACTGAACACATGACCATGCTACGTCCAAATCAGGGTCGTTTGTTGTTTCCACAACCGTGCAGTGGAACGTGAATTGGTGTGGGTCCTCGGGGCAAGGACAGTGGGAGGCTTGAAGGGCCTTTCAGTGTGCAAGGGGGGTATGGCGAGTAACAATCAGTTAGCGCATGAACCCCCAATTGTGGCTCAATCTGCGCAAATTGTACGTGCTGGTTGGGTGCTATGTTTCAACCAATTCGGTCTTTTTCCACCTCCATTTCATGTTTTGTTGTTTTATGGGCCAGACAACCGAGAAAATAGGTTGGGGCCGAACCAACCACAGGGCGTTGCAGGAGGATACTCCCGCGTGTAGAACTGCAGGCGCCCTACTACGCCACCCAAGCGAACCCTGTGGACTCCACTCTTCGCCTGCCCGGCATCCTCTCGCAGCGGCCTTGGAGGGATTCCCGAGCGAATCGAATGTTGCCAATCGAGGCTCCTTGGCGATTCACTATGAGTTCGGGCATCGGCTCAAATGAGGTGATACAATGGTCCAGGGACTTCTGACGCACCATGGGAATTATGACCATGGCTCACATTTGCGGCGTTTGACCACAGCTCTGTTTCCTTGATTACCTCCTTTCAGGGCAATCGAATCACCGGGAGTCGGTTGACTTGACTTTGTTTCGGGAAGGCATCCACCGCGACCATTTGGGTCAGTCTTTTTTTGGGTGTTAGCCTTTTTGCGGTATTTTATAAGGGAAGGACACCGACAGGATGTTAAGAGGAAAAGCAACAGGAAGACCACCATGTTCGGCTCCCCCCCCAAAAAGAACGACACGCCGATTTGGGCCCAAGTGGAAGGAGTTGGCGTCTGAGGTGTGTCTCTCGTGGCTCAGAGCTCCGCACTGCGGAGATGCGCCTAGAGCGGATCCTCCATGGGGGTCGCGTGGGGAAGCCCTGGATCGATGGGATGGATGGGCGCAAGGGCTTCATATAGGGTTGATCATTCGGTCCGTAAAACATGGGATGACCCCATTCGAGAAAGCCACCAAAAAGATGAGATTTGCCAAATGGGAAAAGTTACTTATGTCCATTTGGGGGCAGGAATATTGATCAACCCCCATATGATGGGCAAAGCGGCTCACAGTATTGCATATACAAGGGAAATGTAAGGGGCATGCAAGTGAGACAAATTAAGGGTCCATTCACAAGGGCCCAGTAGATTTTGCGCATATATATATTAACATATATATAAAAACATATATATATATATACATATATATATATACACATACACATTATTTGGGAAATCAAGTCTGGACCCCAAATGGTTTGATTTGCGGCGGATTTGCTCCGTGAAGGTTCCTTTCATGGAGGACACTTGCTTTAGGCTTGCGAGTAGCTAGAATCAAGGGTCCTTTTGCAACCTCAGCTCCCATGATGCCCTTCCCAACTATGTATGTATATATATATATATATAAACGACCCACACCTATATGAGCTGTCCACCTGTGGCCAATGCCGTTTTTTGCAGCAAGATTTGCCCCGTACGAGGAAGCTCTCTCCAACATGGTTCTGATTCTGAAAAGATATTGACACGAGAAGACCTCGTGTCGGCAGTTTGTGTGGGTGTGCTTGTATTTGTGTCTGTGTGTGTGCACGTTTGTTTTGTGTGTGTGTTTTTGGGTGTTGGCAACGTATGTGTTGTTCTCAATTGTTCGGTGGATCCTGCCCTTGTCCCCTTTTTGTTCGGGGTTCCTTGCAAAGGTCAACCCCAAAGACAATCAACAGAGTTACCGTTCTCCACTGGGCAACTGAGGATCTGCAGCTACCTGTTTTTTGCACGCTTCTTCGAGTGCCGAAGTCCCGTTCCGCCGCTTCGGCTCAGCCGCAAATCAGTCGTTTACGGCCTCCAGTCCGACGTTTGCAGCCATGTTTCGGGGCAATTTGCGCAGCGCTGCGAAGGCGCGGCAGGAGATGTGCCGATTGCTTTTGGGTCCCTTAAAGTGGATGTATTTTCAGGAAGTAAGCACATACTGCGAGGATGGTTTGCCTGTCAAAACATAAAATATATGTGTTTTTAAGCAAACACAAACAAAACATGGAGAGAGTATAACTGTGAGGATGTCACTTCTTTTTTTAATGGGCCAGTATTTTGATGCATGGCTGGTACCAATGGATATCCCACTGCACTTCGGGGGCCCATTGTCTGCAGTGCCTTAGGTGCTGGCTGAGAATGTCAAGGAGGCTAGCAAGGTCACCGAGCCGGGCCGGCGCATGTCTTCCTGGGGCAGGCAGGGTGGACCTGGAAGTCTGGAAGTGAAGTGAAAGCTTTTCAGAGACTGCAAATGGATTCACCTTTTCCCATATGGAAACCCCCTCAAGACGAACCCACGCAACCGCTTGCAGAGCCAGGCTCTATTTTTGGGCAACCCATGTATTTAGGGGAGCAAGAGGCCAGAGGGTCGGCCCTGGCCAGAGGCGGGGTTTACACCCTTGACCCCGAGCCCTGGGTGAAGGCATGGTTGCGGCAAAAGGGGAAAAGGGCCACTTTCTGCGATACCAGTTTGCCAATGGAAATCCACTTGTGTCAGAGCAGTCATAGGGATTTCCGACTGCACAGAAAGAACATGTTCACGCCATGAGTGAAGCTTAGTAAATTTAGTAAGGGCAAATGCCCCTTTCACGGTCATTCAACTCCACACCAGAAGGGTACACACTCTCATGTCATATATGTGCTTGTCCAAAAAATGGCTCCATGGTTGGTTTATTTTGGTTGCCCTTTCAGGCCAATCATGCACGACAGTACCAGGGTATTGGTCTGCCCTCATCATTTCTGCAGGTGGATTTCGGATTTGGGTAGGCCCCGGACACGGTTTCTGGTGACATTGCATGTTGTGTCTAGATCGGGGGGGGGGGGGCTAAAATGGGCATCGAAACAAGAACGAAAACAAATGCAAATTGAATAGGACCCCCAAGATGGCTTCGGTTCTCCTTTTGGCTTCACTTTACACCAAGCCAAGTGGATCTCAGTTACCTAAATAGTAAGTAACCATGCATTGTACAATCCTCTCAGTTCTTACAGGTTGGTGCCCCACTAGACACAGAAATAGAATCACTGAGAACCTGTTGTCCAGGTTGTCCCTTCACACACAAACACACCCAAGAGACGGGGATTGAACTCACCTGCCATCGGCCGAAACGGGCATAGGGTGAGCAGCACCGCGGGAGCTTACGGCTACCCCATGGTCAATGCCCGGTACAAGCCTGAAAGCCCGGAGCCGCTGCCTTTGCCAGACAAGGAGCCAGGGAAATGGAAATTCCCAAGCCTTCCAATCGAGATTCCTTTGGACCCTATGGAGGGTCCAACTGTGACGTTTTTGGGTTGGTTTAACGGGACACCTACCATTCTAGGGGGTCCCCACAAGCCACAGGTGTCTCCAAAATGTCCAGGAAACCGGCTACCCTTGTTGCGGCAATCATGGAAGCGGGAAGGAGGGTTTTGCAAGACTGCCATCCTCATGAAAATCCCCTTGTCCAGATCCATTGTTGGAAAGAAGGTACAGGAGAGGGCATATCAAGACCACAATTCGATTTCTGGCAAGCCGGGACGTACCCGATGTAACTTTCCAACATTAGCCTACGATCGACGAAACATGAAGACTGGACATAGCTGTGCCGTCAACGCTCGGAAGCACGCAGAACCGATAGGGGGAGTTGCACAAAAACTACGTACTATCAAGTGAGACGTAGTGAGACACATGTCCCGAATGCAGGAAGGATTGAAGCACACACCAGCAGAGGAGACAAAAACAATTACACAAGAGTCCAGAGCTGTGATTTGCAAGGAACGTTATTGTCCCAAAGTGGACCCATTGTCCAACCGATACACCAACCGATACCCGACGGATAGGGTGACCAATTCCCTTAGCTTAGTAGTTTTACGGGGCCAGCTGCCGACAACCGATGCTCAGCTGGATGTGCATGCAGGTGGTGGAAAGTGTTGCTTCGAGCACGACATCTGCGATGTTCAAGCTGGATCTGCAAAGAGTACTTGGAGCACTTGTTCCGAAAAGTTGCGATTTCCTGTACACTTGGACTGCGTAGCTTTAATTCCTGAGCCGGAGCTGCCATGCACACTGTGTGCACCAAGGTGCTTTCAATGCAGCAACTCCTAACTCTGCTCTCCAGCGTCCCTATGCAGCGGTGACGTCTTCGAAGTACTAAAAACGATAGGGGACGCCCCAAGCGTCCGATGCCCTTTTCCCAGACAGGATATTTTGTCCGTCGCTCACTAATCCACGCAAGCTTGTTTGCTCTTGCGACTGGCGCAGTGCTGGTTCGGCATTTTATTGGTGAAGCTTGCAACAGAAAAACATCATGTGTGGTTTTGTGTGTCAAGCAACAAAATTGATCATCCTTCACGCAAACCAACTCACCAATTCCAGTGTGTCAATGCCTTTGAGCAACTTGACTTTACTCATACTTGGTTTGTGGAGTTCTCCCTTGTCTCCGCAAATAAGCCATAGAGCTGCATAACATGCCTTCTCCGGTATGGTCATGCAGCATTCAAAAACAGATTTGATTTTACCAGTATAAGGGTTCCCAGGCTCCAAAGCATCCCACAGGATCTTTGGGATGGGCTTGTTGTTAGGCCCTTTGCTTGTTTCCTTTCTGGTTCGGGAAATGTAGAACACCTTGGATTCCCTTCGACCACCGCGGCTGCCGCAATCCAGGACAACCGATTGGGTAGCCCTTCTGAGCGCCACTGGCAGGAGGCCATTGGGTCGAGAGGGATCTCTTTTTGGGGGTACCCCCTTTGTAGGTTTCATCTTATTTTGAAGGGGAGCTGGCTGGGCAGACAAGAACCGTGACCGAAAAGGCACAAGTTGAATTATCTCTAGGGTTTCTCTAAGTCAGTCAGCAAGGGTACTTGCAGTTGGGAGAAGGTCGATGGCACCCGTGACTTACCCAGAGGGGAATTGTGCCGTGGTGGAAGCAACCCCCAATTCGGACTCCTTTAAAGGGAACGCTTCGAGTCGAGAGGCCAGCTTCTGTGTGCTACCTTAAGAAGCTCGGGACCTTCCTAAGCCAAGTCATTGCGAGCAGGATTCAATTTTGTCTTGCTTTATTTATGCCGTTGTGTTTTTTACAAACAGATTCTCTTATCATGTGAGTTGTGTGTGTGTGTTTGTTTATGCTGTTTTGGTCTTACAAACAAAGACGGGCTCAGATCTTAGTCTGTTTCTTCCATCGCTCCCTCCGGAACAAAAGTGGGGGTGACACAGCCAATAGACTCAGATGGATGGGGCAGTGTAAAGGGGACTGTTGCACGGGACATGTTTCGCAGGATGGCAGACCCAGTTGGCCAGTGACTAGTTGTTAATTGTTTAACTTGTTCTTGGGAGGCGTTAACAACTACTGTTTGTTGTTTTTGCCCCTTGTCACTAAGGCTGATGCATCGTCGGAACAACAATTACAGTACTCGGCGAGTATGGGTGTGTTCAAACATCGGAGCCCCCATTTTTTGGCTGGCTTCAATGTGGGTAATGATAAGTAGAGGGGGCGCCGCAAAAAAACAAGGGGGGAGGGGGGAGGGTGGGGTGGGGCTGAATAGAGGAAGACTTGTATGTCTAGCGTCCCCATTGAATAATCGCCCGACACTAAGGGCCCGCAACAGAAACATCTCCATACAAGTGGGAGCCCCAGTTTTTGGATGCAAACGATAGAACCTTGATGCAAATCAGGTTCTCTCTCTCAGGACACCTCAAGCTAGGCTTGCCGCTTCTGACGTCAATAGCAATCCAGTGATTTCATTTCCCTAGTTTTGTAGGCAATCAGCGGAGCCCTGTAAGAATTAGGAGGAACATGGCGAAGGGTTACCTATTCAGGCAACTATCTGGAAATGGGATCTAGTGGATAACCCCCAACTGTTTTTGAGTTTGG